ACAACAACAACAACAACAACAACAACAACAGCAACAGCAACAATAGCATCAAATAATAACCTTTTCACCTCGATGACCACTAATTTGCTTTTTTTTTACCGCAATGAATGAACAATTCATTACAGCGTATATTACATCGGTGCATTCTTCCCACGTCGATGATTGCTCCTAAAAATAAGTGAAAAGAAAAAAAAAGCATAAGTTCTTTTAAATAGAAAACAGAATCATAAATTATTTCTAATTACACCAAATTTACACCAAGATCGCATTTTAGTATCTCGATTTCTAATATAATTAAAAATTATTTCCCTGTGTTAATTATTCATAAAGAATTGAAATAAAGAATAATTTCAGCAAATTTTGTTGAGCTATATAACAAGTATGAGAAATTTAAATTATTTCATTCAGACAATCCCTAACGACCGGTAAGATGATTTTCCGTTATTTGCATATTTCTACATACCGATTATCCCATCGTATATCAGAGTATTATCATATCATTTTGAGTATTATCATTTGCTTAAATCGATCAATTTTAATAAAGCAATAACTTTTTAGTTTTACTCCAACATTCGATAAAATATCTCATAAAATGAATGATGAAGTGCATTTTTGTAAATTTTAATTTCTTGCACCGCAGTGAACGAAATATTTCAGTTCTATTTTGCAGAATTATAATTTTTACTAAATGTTAACTTTAAAAGTAAAAAAAGCTTCTAAAATAAAAAAGTAATGGAAGAATAGTTTATCATTTATTTTATAGCATTTATATGAAGTAAATAAATGGAACAAAACGGATAAATAAGTATAAAAAAAATGGAAAAAATGAACTGCTATCATATCAATTAATTAAAAGGACAATAAAGCTAACCATTATTGTTCCAACCGACATATTTCCCGATCCCGATAAATTTTCCAATTGAACCTTTTCAGATGATTATTATTCACATAAATCGTTATCGTTGCTGTTTCATCAGTAATGCCAGAACAACTGCTAAAAGCCAAAGCAAAAGAATAAGTTATTAGCATTTCTACTGGTTCTTTCCTAACAACACGAAAGATCTTTTCAATCTAATCACTTGCAAGCTATGCTTCATCTAAATCTCATCTTATTTAACATTATTTCAATATTTACTTATTAAAAAAAAAAAAACACTCTTCATATCTTCTTGAAATACATATGGGAAGAGAAAGAGAAAGAGAAATAACAGGAAAATTAATGAAATGATATTTTCAACAAATTTCACTCACAAATCTTTTTCTCATCAAATAATTAATATTCTATAAATAAATCAATCAATCATTCATCACTTCAAACTTTTATTTACCGAAAAATTTTTCTCTTATCGATTATCTATCAGAAACAGTTAGCTTAAATTTATCACTCACTAAAATTATGCTGCTGAAATTTTCCGATTGATATCAATTTCAACCTATTGAGATCATCAATGAAAGAGCACCCAAAAAAAAGAATCTCGCAAAAACTTGGAATTCTCAAAATTGACAAATCTCAAATGATCATACTAACACGATTTTTAGTGAATATTTTAAAAGTAAGTTAAATATCAAATCCCAATGATGACAACATAACTAAGTTGCACTTCTTCCTTACACCGAAGGGACCGTAATTTCTTGATCCCAGAAATGCCTATTTAACTTTACACATTAACACTCCTACTTCTTTGCTTTCTTTTTTGACAATGATGTAGTGGAAATTGAATTGCATCATAGCAATTTGAAAACTGTGAATTGCTTTCATGCATAATAAATAACGTGGAATGCAAATTCTCCTTGTATTCCATTTGGAGTAATTTACGGTGCAACTGACAAGTGATTTTTGAAATTTTAGAAGCAATATTTATTACGGCTACAAAAATATCAATTCAAAAAAGCAAAATATGATAAAAAAAAACAACAGAGATCAACGAAAAAAAAATAGATTTTGTCGATTAATCCCTTTTTCCTGGAAGAAATTTTCATTTTTAAAATAACCAGCCAAAAAAGACGAAGAGTGCAGAAGAAAGAGAAGGTGATGAAAGTGATGGGAAAGAGGAATTCAAAAAAAATTTACAATTTAAAA